AGTGAAGGACTCTTTCCTTTGGAAGAATGTCCTCCCTGTTAACAACTCCATGATACTTAAAAACAGCACAAGTCCAAGAGTCAAGGGTGTGGCTATGTCTCGGCAAAATGGTAAATGCTTCAGGACAGCCCTTAAAAATCTTGGAAAGAGCTCTAAATACATGAGTCTAAAAATACATAATTTCTCAACTATGCAAAAAATAAAGATGCAATATGAATTATAGAGGGGCTTCACGAATCTAAAGGAACAGAGGCCGCTGCACTATGAGCCAGCTTATCAAAAAGTTACAAAGATAGGCAGATACAAATGTTGAAAGATTCCTGAGTTCAGGATCACCCTAGGATAGAACAAAGTTAGGCTCAGGCATGGTAGAAATGTAATTTTAGGGCAAGGTTCCACCCAATTAGCTTATCACCTGTGCTTAACAATGACAGACTGATCTTTGAATCCTTTTGCAAAGTTAAGGGGAAAAAAGTAAGATTGCTGTCTCCTAAGAAAGGGCTGGGATCACAGGATGCTGATTCATAAGATAATCAAAAGGAAACCTGGAGTAAATGACTGGTATGTGAAATAAAAGACTGGACCTGTGTTCTGCAGGAGATGCACTATCTAGAGAATGTTTTAGGATAGAGATAACTGCTTGGAGAACACACACCCACACAAACACACACACACACACACACACACACACACACACACACCAGGATATGGACAGAGAGATAGATCTCTTAGAATAGCAAAGAGAATATAGACAGAGAGATCCAGAGAGAAAGCTGAAGCAGACTGGAAAAGCTGTATCAAGCAGAACACAGGTCTTCAGCTTTGATTCATGATTTGACTTTGGGTTGTTCTTTTTAATGCTCCTGAAAGATCTCTCCAGGGAAGGACGTGACCCCCAAAGACACTCTAGAGATCTCTTGTTGTAATAACATGAGTCAGGTCTTTATTTATCGAAGCTTTGGGTCGATGTGTCTCATGCAGGAGGCAGGGGTAATCGACCCTGAGATCTAACAGCTTAGGGTTTTTATAGACAAAGGCTGGGGGGAGGGGAAAGGGTTGTGGGTAATCACACACAATTGGTTGTTATAAATGTCTGTAATATGTGTAAGTAGATCTCAGGCAGAGGTTTGACAAATCTCACGAGAATAGTCTCTGGTCTCTGTGGCCTTGGGACCGACCCAGTGTGAATGTTTATCTGAGCCAACAGACCATCTGGCTGAATCTAATTTATAAGTCCTTGGGACCTCTGGTGGGAGTTTCTCCAGAGGAGGCTAAGTCAGACACCACGGGAACAGATTTTCGGAACACTCAATTGACTTTTGTTTTTTTGTTCTGCATCTCCTGTAACGGTCTTAGGCTAGTAAGCTAGTTGACCTGCAATTTTAACTATTTGTATTCTTGTTATATTATTTAACTAACTTAAAGACTACCTTTTCACTCCCAGACACCCTTTCTCTCAGAACCCCTTTCCAAGCTGAGGCTGGTCCTTGGCAAAGAAGATGCTTCTGATGTGGTTTAGCATAATTCACTAACCCAGTCCCTGTGCCGATACTGATATATCTGGAAGTTTTGTTTTGCTTTTTGAGACAGGCTCTCCCTATTTCAGCTCTCCCAGGATGGCTGAAAACTCATGATCCTCCCATCTCGACTTCCTGGGCACTAAGAGCATAAATGTGTTTCACAACTTTAGCATTCAGGGTATTTTAAAAACTCAAGTTGACTGAGGTAAAGATCACCCTTTTAAGTCTCCAGCTCATTGATTCCAGTAAGCATATTTGATGGTTTAATTCTGTTAAAGACATGGAGCAGACTTATCACTCCCCCCAGAGTTCCCTAGAGAATTCTGGAAAGCTAATCCTGAACAGCGGGTGATTGCTGATGGCTTCTGTGTGTGCCTTACCTTAAATGCCACACAGAATGCAGTTGTTTGAACCTAGCTTCTTTCACTGACCATGTGTTTGTGCATCAGACATGTCTCACAGTCTCATCGTCAATACCCTATGGGACACACCATGGTTCATTTATCTGTTCAGCAGTTGTAAGACATTAGGCTGTTTCCAAGCTGGGGCAATTGTTACTAAATATGCCATCATTTGTTGTACGCAGGCTTTTACATGGACATGTTTTCACTGGTCTTGGATAAACTCCTAGGACTGGGATTATAGCATCAGAAATACATGACTGATAAGCATTTGCAGAGCTGTGTTCCAAAGTCACAACCCTATCATGCCACTCACATAGTATCCTGGACAACACTTAGGATTGTTAGTCTTTCTTCACTGACATTTATTCTTAGCGGGAGGCAAGTGCCTGTGTCACAGTGCGCATATGGAATTCAAAGAACAACATTTGAGAATCCACCGTATGTGTGGAATCCAGAGTCCAAGCTCAGGCTGTCAGGCTTGGTGGCAAGCACCATTACACACACATGAGCCTTTTCACCAGTCCCATCAGTTGCTTTTATTTGAATCTTTTTTTTTAAATTATTTTACGTATATGACGAGTACACTGTAGCCGTCTTCAGACACACCAGAAGAGGACATTGGATCCCATTACAGATGGCTGTGAGCCACCATGTGGTTGCTGGGAACTGAACTCAGGACCTCTGGAAACACAGTCAGTGCTCTTTATTCCTGAGCCATCTCTCCAGCCTATTTGGATCTTCCTTATCTTGTGAAATATTCTTATAGATATGTCATTTTCTATCAGCTGTTAATAAGATACATTGAAAACAAGAACAAATAAATTAAAGGGTGAGAAAGTGGTGGCGCCACTTACCAGTTGGCATCAGCACTGTCTGCCTTCCACATCCTCACCAAGAATGTTCAATGGGAATGTTTTATTTTTAAATTCTTTGTAAAGAGTTAGTAGCCTGTATGTTACTGTTGTGTGACTTTCCTAAGGAGGTGTAAAAAAAATCATTCATCCCGAATAGTGAAGAAGACCAAAGAAAGATTTTATTGAGTCCAGTGTGGTGAGTAGATGAGTTTACGATTCCTCATAAGAATATGGGTGATCCAAGGCAGTTGCACCACTGCAAAGTCCTGCTCCTCTGTCATTTTTTTTAGCCTTTGATATATTTTAGCATTTCCAAGATTCACTGTATCTGGAGCAGGTACAACTGTTTATTTTGTTGCCAAGGCTGCAGTCTTCTGTAAATCACCACAGTACTCTGCTTCATGACGGCGATAATCACGTCACGCCCACAGCAAACACCACTGTGACTGCTCCTGACTCAAGCAATCCTCTTGTCAGTACTCAGAGCAAATGGTCCAGGAAAACCATGCTTTTAAGGGGAAATTTGAGACGACTGCTATGATCTATTTTTGGTGAGCATAGTGATAACAATCAGTCACAGTCTGCTTTGCCTCCGGAATTCCTTATCAGTACAGTCAGTAGTGCTGTTCTCACCTGTAGAATTTGGTTAATCCTTCTAATTTCCTGACCAAGTATTCAGGCACCATGGTTTCACAAAATAGGAAAGCCTAACTGAATGACACCATTCTAAGGTTATGGAACAGGTTTCTTTTTTTTTTTTTAACTTATTTATTTATTATATATGAATACACTGTAGCTGTCTTCAGACGTACCAGAAGAGGGCATCAGATCTCATTACAGATGGTTGTGATCCACCATGTGGTTGCTGGGATTTGAACTCAGGACCTCTGGAAGTGCAGTCAGTGAGTGCTCTTAACCACTGAGCCATCTCTCCAGCCCCACGGAATAGGTTTCTAAGGCTACTCAGGTCTTCACACTTATGCAGCAAGAACTTTACTCACTGAGCCATTCCTTTACATGGATTTCAAACTTTAAAATTGTTACCCACTTTATGAAATATCTCAGGAACCAGGTATGGTGATATATCCCTGTCATTACAGCACTTGGGAGGCTAAAGAAAGGAGGGCTAATTCAAAGCCACCCTATGCACTTCAGAAAAAAATCTTAAAAAACAAACAAAGCTAACCTTAGGAAGAACACACATCTATCTTCCTGAGGCAAATTTCAAAACAAAAACAAGTTGTGCCAGTATGGGGGCACTTATCACTTTGAAATGGAGGCAGGAAGACTGTTGTTCAGTGTCAGCCTGAGCTACAGAGTGAATGCTCAGACAGCATGGACTACAAGAGGCAAAAAACAAAACAAAACAACAACAAATGATTTTTTTAAAAGTCTATATTTTCTATTTCTTACAGTTAGTTCACTTCCTCAAAAATATGTTCACTGGCATCCACTCATAGACTTTTACTATTGGGCTGTCCAGAATTTAAGGGTCCAGTGTCTTAGCCTCCCTGGAGAGCCAACTGCCGGTATACTGCCTCACATCGTTTTTAATGTATTATTCCCATGTTCTCTCTTAATCTTTTATCAGCTACTTCTACAAATGACTCGAGGATTCCAAATGTACTCGGTGTTAACCGTAGTGTGGAGAGCAAGCTTTGAAGAGACACTGGCCTGAGTTTAGGTTATCACCTCCTCCACCATTTGCCGTGAGCTTCCTTTAGAAAACTCAAGTTCCTCCACTATGAAACGGGCATCATTGACCTGAGGCGTGTAAAGACTTTCTCGTGTTCACCTTAGAATGGGTGCCGTGTAAGATGATTTTTATGGTGGCATTTCTCAGACTAACAGCATCCATCCACAGCATTATGGAACTTGACAGAAAAACCAACTCTCGGTCCTCGCCTCAGAAAGACTCAAGGGTGGGTCAGATCAGTCTGTTCTAACTAGTTTTCCAGATAATTCTGACGCTGGATTGAGTCTGGGACTCGTGCTGAGTACGCGGTACCATCCACAAAGCAGTGAGCAGTCAGCACCTCGACCTCTAGGACTTCGGCGGCGACAACAGACAAACCGGTCGGGCACAGACTTGGCTCCGGCTCCACTCTCGTTCCTGCATCATAGCCCGCCTCCCTCGCTCGCTGACTGGTGGAGTCGCTCGTGGCGGCTCGCCAATCACCGGGGCGCAGGCACGGACGCGGTCGGGCAGAGCCTGGGAAGAGCAGCAAGCCTATTGGTTGGAGACCGCGCCGCCGAGCTGCGCGTAGGCACTTGAGAGGCGTGGTACCAGCGGTCGTTGAAAAATGGCGACTGTTACTGAGCTGAAAGCTGGTGAGTGCCTTGAGGGGGTGCTCGCCTGCGGGAAGCGTCGGGCCTTCCGTATATGATAGGGATGGGACGGAAGGAGAGCGTGCGGGACACCGGATCGTCTTTTTCCGGAATCGTAATCGGGAGGCGGGAACCGCCAGGAGCGGCCTTTGCGCACGCGCTATGTTAGGGTCCACCTTGGAGCTGGAGGAAGGGACTGGTATCTTGTCCCCTCGGGACCTCTGGGCATCTCTTAGAACCCTGCTGAGCCGATAGCGCCCAAAGGCCTGCGTTCCGAGCTGACCATGACAACACCACAGCCACGATTTTGTGACAGACACACTTCTCAATGATTTGTGCGGCTAGCTCAGTCCGGACGACAACTTGTGGATAGGTCCTCCTCGTCCTTTGGGTGAAACCTGAGACAGAGTTGTCCATTCTGGAGGCTCTTCAGGATTTTTCGGAAGAGTTTTTCTAAACTGGTTGGTTGTGTGCAGGGTGCATCCAGGTTCCATCCCCAGGACTACAAAAACAAGGAGTAGACATCAATAACGTGTATACTGTTAACTCTGAATAGTAATTAGAGTTAATGTTTGAGTCGTAATTGGAGTTAAGGTTCAGTATGTGATTCTGTCAGATACTTCACAGCTCATCCAACAGGACTTGATTCTGTGTAACAACGCTGTGTCCATTTCATACATGAGGTGCTGAGAGGTAATTATCCACGATAATCTAGATAGAAATAGATTCACGTGGAAACCCCATAAGGTGCAGTAGTGTACCGTATTTCAGTCATGCCAATCTGCTTCCCGTAGAATAAAGCCAGTTCTGAGTTTCAAAGAATTCAGAGTCTAAGCCAATGGTAATGGAAATCTGGAGAGGACCGAGTAGAATAGTTTGGAGACTAAGATTTAGTAACTATTGACTGCATATGTATTGGGGACACTGTGCTGGTGAGCATCCCAAAAGCAGACTTACCTTAGTCCCCAGGAGGGACTTCACATGAGTCAGTGAGCTCTTCTGGGGGTGGAGTATACATAGTATGTGAATTGTATAAACTTTTCATAGGATTTTAAGATAAATTCTATGGAAAATATGTCGGGTTAAGACCAATTCCCGAAGACATTTTATAATAACAGCATTATAAGCATAAGACTACAAGTAGTAAAATGATAAACAGCCCGGGGTTATCCCTACAAATTTAGGGGGACCTCCTTATGTATGTTTTTCTGCATTCTCTGGTTTTTGATATGCTTTGTGTCCAAGAGAAAAGTAATAAAAACTTGTTTCCTAATCAATGATCTCACATTTTATGGGCTTTTACTGGTTTAGAACACTTCCATTTCATCTAGATCTTTCTCTGAGAGGTAGAGTTTATTACCTCAGAGAAGGCAACTGAGGCACAGGTTAGGAATCTGCCACCAAGTATGAAGGACATGCTACATTTCCCAATTCCAACTTCATTACTTTTCATTTTCTGCTAAGTTTGAGGCTGTACTGTGTGTACTTCCGAGTAATTGGGACAGGATGCTTGCCAGTAGAAAAGAATCTCTCCCTTAATTTCCAAAGATGGAACTAGAGAACAGAGGTTGTGTTATGACCCTAAGTATGATAAAGCTTTCCTTTTATGGACCTGTTACAGAGAATAATGGTTGACAACTAATATACCTGTAGAAAGGCTGAAGGGATGCTTTAGAAATAAGGGATAAGAAAAATGACAAGCCTAAGAGTGTATATCCTTAATCACATGGCCAAGGAGTATTGTTATTTACCAAAGAGCCAAAGACTAGAAACTTTGCTATATGTACCTAAATGTATCTAAGCTGCTTTATGGATTTTAATTATTGGGGCATATTAATGCTTTTGCCATTGGCGGAACAAAGTGCACTGTTAAACTACATTTTTTCCATTAATAATGTAAGGTCCTTTATTATAAATATGTTACATTTAGTGAGCTCTTACTGTATTCTAGGCATTATGTTGATTTTCTTTTTTTAAAGATTTATTTAATGTATATGAGTACACCATTGCTCTCTTTTTTTAAGACTTATTTATTTATTTATTTATTTATTTATTTAATGTATATAAACACACTGTTCTTGAAACACCAGAAGAAGGCATCAGGTCCCATTGCAGATGGTTGTGAGCCACCATGTGGTTGCTGGGAATTGAACTCATGACCTTTGGAAGAGTAGTTGGTGATCTTTAGTCAGTGATCTTAACCACTGAGCCATCTCTCCAGCTCCTATGTTGATTTTCTAAAATTGCTGTTTAGCCACAAAAGACTATTTGAAAAAGGAAGGGTCCATGTTACTGATAAGGGATGATGGCAGCTCAACCCAAGCCCATCTTCTATACTAAGTGTGTGTACTCAAAGCCCATTAGCTCACTTCTTTTTGTTTTGTTTTGTTTTGTTTTCGAGACAGGGTTTCTCTGTGTAGCCCTGGCTGTCCTGGAACTCACTCTGTAGACCAGGCTGGCCTCAAACTCAGAAATCCACCTGCCTCTGCCTACCAAGTGCTGGGATTAAAGGTGTGTACCACCACTGCCCAAAAATGTGTACCCCATGCTGGTCTCGAACTCCAGATCCTCCTACCTCCGCCTCCGTCAGCAAATCCTACCAGCCTGCACCAGCAGTACTATGTCAACTTGTGATGTTTGTCACAGTGCACCTTTTCAAGACCTAAGGTCACATTTGGCATGCACACTCCTGACTCCTGAAGTTAGCAGTGATGCAGTCCCTTTCACAGTCTCATTCCATTTCTTTTTCTTGAAGATTTATTTTTGTGTTTCTCTCTCTTTGTCGCTCTCCCCCTCTCAGCTGGTGTGTGTGTTTGTGTGTGTGTGTACATGTGTATAAGAGGAGGCCAGAAGAGGGCCTGGAGTTCCCCTGGAATTCCAGATGGTTGTGACTGCCCACGTAGGTGCCAGGAAGCAAACTGAGGTCCTCTGCAAGAACAACATGCACAATATGCATTTCTTACTAAGTCATCTCTTCAGCCCTTTGTGTTACATTTCTAACCAGGCTGGACATTTCAAAATCCTACTGTTGGGCTAGGGATGTAGCTTGCCTGTCATGCATGAGGCCCTGGGTTCAATCCCCAGCAATACAGGCAATGGAGGTGGTAGTTAACACCTGTAATCCCATCACAGCCTACTTGTGAGATAGAAGCAGGAGGATCAGAAGTTCAGGGTCATGTTCAGCCTACATAAAAAGTTTAAAGTGGATTACAGCTTTAGCTTGGATTACAGCCTAGGTATGAGGCCCAAGCTGGTCTGACTTCTCAGCCTCCCAAGCACTGGGATTACAGGAATGTGCTACCATTCAGCTGGGTAGCACTTAGGAGGTAGAGGCAGGTGGATCTCTATGAGTTTGAGACCAGCTTGGTATGTATAGTAAGTTCCAGGACAGCCACAGCTACATAGAGAGACTTTGTCTCAAAAAAGAAAAAAAAAAAAAAGAAGAATTAAAGAAAAGCTATGGATCTCAAAAGTTCTGCATTAACAGTAATAATGACACATTCGCTCTTTTGTGGAGGGCAGGTGGTTTTCTGTAATCATCCTGCATTAAAGTACTGCCTGAATCCATGTGGGAGATGAGAGCGTGAGCTAACTGTAACTGTTCATCCTTTTCTCCCATCAAACCACAGTCCCTACTAAAGATACTGCACTGATAGACCTGAATTTGCACAAATATTGATTGGATTATTACTGATATCATTGTTCAGCTTGTCTCTTTGAATCAAGAACTATATTTGTATCATTCTCCTTTTAAACATGATTCTTTAGCACATACCTGAAATATCAACACTTACACTATAACAGAAGCATTTGTATTTTATATCTATTTAACAGTTTTAAAGGACACTTTGGAAAAAAGGGGAGTGTTAGGACATTTAAAAGCAAGGATCCGTGCTGAAGTTTTCAATGCCCTGGATGATGATCGTGAACCCCGACCATCGTTGTCTCATGAGAACCTTCTAATTAATGAATTAATTAGGGAGTATTTGGAATTCAACAAATATAAATACACAGCCTCAGTCCTCATAGCAGGTAAGTGGTTATTCATCACTGGAGAGAAGATCCCCTTCTTTTTTCTAATTTCTTAGAAACCATTTGCCCTAAATATGTAGTTTCATTACTGTGACAGAACACTTAGTATCCCATGGGCTTTTGTCATAGCATGAACAAGTTCTGGTGAGTTTTATGCTGTCAGGAAGGAGCTAGGGCCTTCTACTGCAGGTTCTCTGTAGTGGTGGGAGGACTTTGGCTCCCAGCAGATCACACTTCCAGCCACCAGCCCAAGAGCTCTCTGGATTCACAAATGAAAGACCACACACACACACACACACACACACATTGGATTCACAAATGAAAGACCACGCATGCACTCGCACCTTGACTAGTTAATTTTGCTATGCCTTGACTAGTTCAATGGCTGGGTGCTTCTAAACCTCCCTGCGGCTAGCACACACTCCCCTCTGGTATTCCTGAGTTAACATCTTTTAAAATCTACATCTCTGCTACCCCGTTACCTTCTGAGGAGCTGCCCCCCCCCAAACCCCCATAGGGCCTAAATCTCTTCTGACCTACATTGCCGGATGGTTTTTCTCTTGCGGTGCTTAAATCTTATCCTTTTCCATCTTAGTCATGGGGATTCTCCCCCCACTCTCCCACCCACCTCTCAGTGTCTTGCCAATGTAATCTAAAAGTTCCACCCCATCTCCCCACCTAGCCAATGGCTGAACAGCAATTTTTAATTATCGATCAAAGCCAGCCGAGGGCAGGGACCCTTCAGTCTGGAAGTGAGGCTTTTTGGGAACTGAAATAAGACAAAGTTCTCCATGTGATATTAAGCATACATCCTCATAAAGGATAATGATTCTGCCATGTTGAAGGATCTCTAAAGATAGTATTGCTGTCTGTTTCCCTCAGTTTTTTATAGCTGGCTATATAATACCATTAACACTCTAAAGGAGAGCGAGAAAAAGGAAAAAAAAACCATTGAAAAATGCTATCAGTTAGGTGTCTTGCAATTGGGTGTCCCTAGGATGAAAATGACAGTGCTGTTTTATATTAAATGTTTCGGTGTTTTAGATTGGTATGCTTGCTCATGCCTATAGTCCCAGAAACTCAAGGGGCTAAAGCAGGAAGACACTGCTTCAAAATATAAAATAGCTGTAGTTCAGTGGTAGAACATTTGCCAGAGCTTAATTCCCATCACTGGTGGGAGATGCAGGGGAGGGGCGACTGGGAGTGGGATGGGGTTGTGATGGGACATGACAGTTTCTGTCCATCAGGTTTGCCCTTTTCAGAATGCCTTATATGTGGAAGCCTAAAGGAGTTGCCGTTTGATGCATGCCTCTCTTCACCTAATAAAATGCACTAGAGGGTGGGGTGTTGATGGCACACCCCTTTAATCCCAGCGCTTGGGAAGCAGAGCAGGACGGGTCTCTGAGTTCAAGGCCAGCCTGTTCTACATAGTAAGTTGCAGGACAGCCAAGCTTACACAGAGAATCCCTGTCTTGCAAAACCAAACAAAACAAGCACTGGAGGTTCAGACATGTTGACTTTGTACCTGTGGATTGGGAACCGCTGTGGCCATGACACTTTATCTGCTCTCAGAGGCATTTTGATTGTTTAGACTTTCTGATAGCCATGAATCAGAACCTCAAAAATATTTACAGGAAAGTTTTTTGTGACTCTTATTTTATTTTGCCATATTGTGTGGGAAGTGAATGCTTACCTACCACTGCTTTCAGCTGGCTCTAGCATTTTACCTTCTCACCAGGAATATGGTGGCTCACACGGGTAGTCCCAGCACTCGAGAAGCAAGGTCAGAAGAATCACTGTAAGTTGAAGGTCTGTCTAGGACATATACTGAATTTGAAGCCAGTCTGGGCTAGAGTGAGACTCAGTCTAGAAATATAATAATTAATTTTAATCTTAGAATTACTATCTATGAATGGAATATTTATTTATTGATTGGTCGGTTGGTTGATTGATTGACAGAGACAAGGCTTCTTTGTGTAGCCGTGGCTGTCCTGGAACTTGCTCTGTAGACCAGCCTAGCCTCAAACTCATAGAGAGCCACTTGCCTCTGGATCCTAAGTACTGGAATTAGAGTTGTGAGCCATATGGCACAGCTAAATGAATTTCTTTTTGAGTACTCTATCTGCATTTACACCTGCATTCCAGAAGAGGGCATCAGATCTATCTATAAATGGTCGTGAGCCATCATGTGGTTGCTGGGAATTGAACTTGGGACCTCTGGACGAGCAACCTCTTAACCTCTAAGTCATCTCACCAGCCCTAAATGGATATATTTTTGAAGTTAGTTATTTAGTATTACCATGTGTTTATAACCTGTAGACATCTCAGAAAACATACTGAAGTCCAGCATTGTAGTTTTAGATACAGAAGTTATATTACCAATCACAAATTAGGGATATAAAGACTAAGTATGAGTTAAACTGTAATTAATCTCCACATTAATTGTTTGGGTATATATTGACATCATAAACTCATGTGTATGTTAGATCTGTCTTGAATGTGCTGTCAGCATTTTTCCAAAATCTGAGAAATGTATCTACCTGGAAGGTATGGTTATTATCAAAATTGAATTTGCCTTTAGATTAATAGACTCGGTGTTTTCTTGAATTTTTCCCTCCAGAATCTGGTCAACCTGTAGTTCCATTGGACAGACAGTTTCTCATCCGTGAACTAAATGCCTTTGAAGAATCAAAGGATAATTCAATGTAAGAAGTTTTCTTTTTTTTTTTTTTTTTTTTGGTTTTTTTCGAGACAGGGTTTCTCTGTGTAGCCCTGGCTGTCCTGGAACTCACTCTGTAGACCAGTCTGGCCTCGAGCTCAGAAATCTGCCTGCCTCTGCCTCCCAAGTGCTGGGATTAAAGGTGTGCTCCACCACCGCCCAGCAGAAGTTTTTAAAAAGAGGTTTGCACGTGTTGTAACTAGACCTTAATGGCATAGTGCTGACTATGATTTATTTTACTCTAACAGGAACTTACTTAGGTTTATTGTATGTTACACATCGTATGAGATCCAAGACGTGTAGTGCAAACACCTGAGGTCTGTGCTGCAGCTGAGGGACTGAGCATTTAGCCAACCACCTACTTCCCTGCCTCCCTCCTTTCCTTTTCCTCCCTCCCTCCTTCCTTCCTTTGGGGGCTTTCCCCCAATCTGTTTCTTTCAATGGTAGTAATTGAACCAGGGCCTTGAGTATGTACAAGCCCTTTACCCTGAGCAGTGTCCCTAGCCCAGCCCTTTACATTTTTCTTTCTTAAACTTTTTTTCTTTTGATTTTTTTTTTTTTTAATAGTTTCAGCTGTCTTGGAACTCTAGCTCTGTTCTAGCCCGGCCTTGAACTCACAGATGTCCATTTGCATCTACCTCCTGAGTGCTGGGACTAAAGGCATATACCACCAACAGCTGGTTTTTTTAAACTTAAAAAATTGTTTTTGTTTATGTGTATAGGTGTTTTGTCTGCACGCATGTCTGTGTACCACATACATGCCTGATTCTCTCAGAGGCCGTGGAGCTGGAATTGCAGGTGATTGTAAGCCACCATGTGGGTACTGGGCATTGAAGCTGGTTCTCTGGAAGAACAACTAGTACTCTTAACCACTCTGAGCCATCTCTCCAGTTCCTCCCCCACCTTCTTTCTAAGAATGACCCTTCTTGGCCTCTTGATCTTTTTTTTTTCTTCTTTCTAAAGCTTTGTTGTTTGAGTTGTTTCTTCTTCATATTTAACTCTTCTTCCTCATTGCTTTCTTCACTTCAGTGTAGGAACAAATTTAGATCTCACCTCTAAACAGAAGGAAAGGACCATCCAATCAGCTTCCTCTTACCCCAGCACAGCTTTCTAGCTTGTCATTGCCAGGCCTGTTGTGCCGGCCGTCTGCTTTCATATTACCATCCATTTCTCTTCTGCTGTCTGCATCTTAAATTGCTCCTTCTCTTCCTTTACACTAATCGCTTCTTAGTTCCTTCCCTTTGTGTAATGCCTCGTACATTTTCCAGAGTCCCTAACTGGCTAATTAATCAATGAGCTTGTACCTAGTGCCAGAATGCACAGCTCAGAGCAACTTTTCCTTGCTGAAAACTTTGAGACTTATGCTTTCCTTCTAAAAGTTTGTTGAATTTTTTCAGTTGGTTTTAAGGTATAATTATATTTTAATACAAGCTGTTTTTTATATAGGCCATTTAACTAAATCTCTCTCAGTGCTGTCCTGTCCCTAGCATCAAATATATGTCTTGAGTTTTTGCAGGATGTTGTAATACTGACTTCTTTTCTCCACACGGCTTCCTGTCCCATGTTTCTTGTGCTTCTTCACTGTTCTAAGAGTTCCCCAGTCTTAACTTAGTCTTGCTTTCTTCAATGACTCCTTTAAGTTTAAATGGGCACTCCACAGGTTCTGTCTTCTGTTTTCATTTCTTTTTTTTCTTTTTTCTTTTTTTTGGTTTTTCGAGACAGGGTTTCTCTGTGTAGCCCTGGCTGTTCTGGAACTTACTCTGTAGACCAGGCTGGCCTCGAACTCAGAAATCCGCCTGTCTCTGCCTCCCAAGTGCTAGGATTAAAGGCGTGTGCCACCACCGCCCAGCCTGTTTTCATTTCTTTTCACACACTGCTCCCATACTCTTGAGTCTCCAGTGAGGTCTGTATGGGGCAGATGTGCTCAGACCACTTTCTTGGTTGGGCCCATGTATCTGTGGCATCCCAAATGCAGTGTGTTCAGAATAGCAGGGTGCTCTTTTTGCACAGTGTTCCTCACAGGCTTTTCTTGTGGCTCTGCAGGTTTTAAAGGCAGAGTCAACAGGCAGTTTAAAGGCAGGTTTTCTTTTCCCTACCAGTCTTTCACCAGCACTGTTGACTGTGCCTCTGGTTATCTCTTTATTCTCAGTGCCATATGCCATGCTGTTGACACTATTTACGAGCCACCTGGCTAGTTTTTCTCCAGTCACTCCCTTTTCAAACTCATTTTATCCTGCCCTCTGTTTTTCTAAGGCAGCTACTGTATTGTTTAAAAATATGTAACAGTTAATTGCAACTTCATGGTTCTTTGCCTTTGCACCAAATGTTCCCTCTCCCAGAAACCTGAAATCATTCTTCTTCAACTTCTGTGGGTTCACCTTTTATCTTCTTTGCCTTGTTTAGATGTTCCCACAGTAGTTGGGAAGGAGAAAGCCATCGACAGGTTCTTGGCTATGAGCAGTTTTCTGCTCACTGCATTGAATTTCAGCTACCAAGAAAACTGGTTATCTCATGAAATCCAAGTGACCTGGAGAAGAAGAAAAGAAAGCATTTCTTAGTTCCATAGTTTCAGGTTTTCTTCTCTTTATATTTGTTTTAGTGCTGATATGACAAGACTGCAGTAGATTTTAACAGCAAGCTAAGTAGACAAACTACAAAGAAACATAATGGCTATTATGCTACATTTTAAATAAAATGATTCAAATAAGTGCTGAGTGCAGCAGTTGACTGTTATTATAGCACTGTATGTTTGTCTGCTTCTTACTGCATTTCGTCATTGAGATGCATTGGGCATCCAGATGTTGTCCAGCTCTGTACTGGGCAGCTAAGGAGCTCTTTCTTTTTTCTTTTTTCTTTTTTTTTTTTTTTGTTTTTTGTTTTTTGCTTTTTGTTTTTTCGAGACAGGGTTTTTCTGTGTAGCCCTGGCTGTCCTGGAACTCACTCTGTAGACCAGGCTGGCCTCGAAATCAGAAATCTGCCTGCCTCTGCCTCCCAAGTGCTGGGATTAAAGGCGTCCACCACCACCGCCCGGCTGAGGAGCTCTTAATGAAGGAAAAACTTTGAAGCACTAGGACTGAGAGAGTACAGTAAGCTAACTGTTTGCCTACACTTACTTTGCCTATGTATTAACATAGCATTTGATTTACATATTAACATGCTGTGAACCCTTAGATGGGGAGCAATGGCCTGAGTGAGGAAAAAGCACTTTCAAGGGGTCATAGTGAAAGTATTGGTGTTTTGCTGCAAAACATGTAGGAGGTATAGAAAAGTGTCAGCTGCTCCCCACTGATACCTTTCACTTTCCAAAGTTGACCCAGTGAACGTTTTCCCCTTGCATTATTCAGACACAAGCACATAAAGCACAGCTGTGTGGTTTTTCCACATATGAGGGAATTGTATTGTATATACACATCTCTTTTTCAAACACTGTAGTTCCTCTTATTTGGGGGTCACTGCATTTGTCTCAGAGTTTTTTATCAACACGAAACAAGAGGGTGTCTGTTGAAGGCTGTCTCTGCTTCCTTTCCTTCCCATGTGGAGTCACATCTTCCCCTTTAATTGCGTTCTTGTGTTGTGGATTTCCAGCATTTTTACTATTTTGCCAAAAACGGCACTGCTGTAGACACTGGAGATGTGGCAGCACAGTTTTCTATAGTGTCCCCAGAGAGTGACTGGGAGGTGCATAGTCTATGAGATGCTCACAAACAGCCACTGAACCACATTCCCTCTTGGTCATTTATGATGTCATAAACAGAGCATGTACACCAAGAAATCCTGCCACAGAAACAGCCTTTATCTAACTTGGAGTATCCAGATTTATTTGGCGAAAAATCTTATAAGGGAGCTGTTATCCCCCTTTTCAAAGCTAGTGGTCATGGGTATAACAATCACTACATTTGAGTGTTAAGCAAAACAGTGGGTAATGGTTTAAACATTTGGACAGTTTTTGAAATGTTTGAAGATTCTAAGAGTAGCTGTCTAAGTGTTCTATTGCTGTGAACAAGCACCATGACCACAACAACTCTTATAAAGGAAAACATGTAATTGGGGCTTGCTTATAGTTTCAGAGGTTTAGTTCATTCTCTTTTTGGTGGGAAGCATGGCAACACACAGGCAAACACAGTGCTGGAAAAGTATCTAGAAGATCTCCATCTGGAACTACGGGCAGGAGGAAGACAAAGGACACTGATATTAGCTTAGACTTTGAAACCTCAACGCCCACCCCCAGTGACATCCTTCTTCCAACAAGACCCCACTCTAAGTCCCTCTCAAGTAGCCCCACTCCCTGATTCTAATATATGAGCCTCAGGGCCATTTTCATTCAGACTACCATAGTAGCTTAGCAGGTCTAGGGTCATTCAAGTAGAAGACATTAGTTCCCATTTGACCGGTGTTGGGAGCAAGTAGCTGTTAGATTTTTATTTTTCCTTGCCCTTTGGTAGTCTCTGAAACATTTGCTGCAGATGAGTAAGTTAAAAAAGGAAACTGGTGACCAGCTTTATTTCCAGAAACTGTGGGAGCTTCTTGTAGCCCTTCAGGAATGTGTGTGTGTTGGGGGCAGGGAGGAGCTGGAGCTCACACTCGGGGCTTTGCACAGACTATGTGAGTGCTTATCCACTGAGCAACCCCTAGCTATACTTTATGTTATTTTTTAAAAAACATGGCCTTTAAAACATTTTTGGAAATAACCTTTACTGTCTATTAAATTGTATGTTAAATGTGCTAATTATGTACCATCTGGAGCAGTTTAAGATATCTAACATACAGATTTTTCTAAATCTGAAGCAGATTCTACTCTAGGTCAGAAGTAAAGCTTTTAGCAATCTCCAGCAAGCTGACTGGAAGGAGCAGAGGCATGGAGTCTGCTGTCTGAGTTTTCTAAGGCATCTCATTGAGAGCCTGTAGTGTTTTCTTTGGCCTGGAGGGGCTGCTGTAACATACATGTGCTCCTGTCCCACATATTACTCCAGAACTCATTGTGTGTGTGTGGCGGGGGGGGGGGGAGGGTATTGGGAGCTGGGTTCACCTGAGTGTAGCTCCAGATATCTTTTGAGGTTTCAGGCTTCTGGAAGTTCAACTGAAGCCATGAGATCTGTTTCATACTTCCTCATCTCCTCATACAGTGCCTGTGTGTGGGACTGCTTGAATGTCTGCAGGCTGTGCCTCCCCCAGAGAGTGATCCAAGAAAGCAAGTCATTGCCATTGCCCCTTGCCATCTTGTCCCTTTGGTAGAGGCGAGTGAGGCTCAATCAAGCATAAGATGTTTAGACTCTGTTCTTGATAGGAGTGTCATTCTTTGAACCATTAGCTGGGCAGGAGATGGATATCTCAAAATTAAATGCATTTACTTGTATTTTCAGGGGTGAGATTGGAAGCGAAGAGCGAATACTTCTGTGCTGTCAGTAGAGCAGCCTTCAGTGTCAAGGGACCAACTAATAAGACTTTTGGTGACATATTTTAAGAAAGGGTATATAGGAGTTGGTTATGAGTGTAAATGTTGCTTACTCCTGAGAAACTTGAGCACATTACTGAGTTCTGGTTTTCTCAGTCACAAGTTGGTGGTAGTACAGTGATGGCTAAGAGGAAACTACAAAGCAACCTTGTAGATATGAGTTATTATCCAGCTCTCCTGTTAATTCATATGTCATTTACTATGTGCAAGATACATAGCTAGATAATCCCAGCACTTGGGAGGCAGAGGCAGGCGGATTTCTGAGTTCAAGTCCAGCCTGGTCTACAGAGTGAGTTCTAGGACAGCCAGGGCTACACAGAGAAACCCTGTCTCGAAAAACAAACAAACAAACAAACAAACAAAAAATCCATAGCTAGAGAGTTGACATTGTCGACAGCATACCAAACATGTGACCTAGGGATTGCTTACACCCTTTAAGGACGAGAGACATCTGCGAACTTTAGGAAACAGATCTTCAAGCTCCACAGCTGGCCACAGCAAAGTAAGATATGAAGGTAGACCGTATGGTTCTTGAGCTTAATCTTGACAGGACAGTGGATGCTGAACAAGTTTTAGGTTTTAGGAAGGTTTTAGGCTGGCTTTGGAGTTGACAAGCTGAATTCCAGTAGGTTAATTGGAATTTCATTAGTTTAGTGTGTTTTCTGAGGGTTTAAACAATCTCACTCAAGTTAGTTGGTACTTTTAAATTGATTGAACCTTTGCCACTTAGCTAAACTTTTTTTTTTCAATCTATTGAGTTAGATGGTCGTTTCTGTGTCAGAGTTTACCTTTAAAGTGATTGTCTTAAGTTTTTCCTACTTATGGGAAGTAAATTGATTTTGGTTTTGCCTTCTTCCTGAAATAGTCCTCTGTTATATGGAATTTTAGCCCACTTCTTGCGTGGTCCTCCAGATGAAGTCCAGAATGTGTTTCTGTCAGAGTCAACACTGCACCCTGCAAACAAGCATCTCAGCTGGAAGCCCAGCAGAAGATCAGACGGTAGGAGCTTCCACCACTTCTCCTTTAGCTTCCTTGAGTTTGTTCTCTGGAGCTTGTCTAGTTCAGCATTAGCCTGTACTACTTAACCTCCAGAAGGCCAGTACTTTGAGGAAAGAAAATCTTGACAGGGCAAAGTGCTTAGATGAAAATTCACAGCAAAGTCTTGAAAGAAACCTGATTTTCACATCAGCATGGTCTTTGGAACAGCTGGCTCAGCACACTGTATAGTTTTCTTTGAAATCAAGAAGTTGTCGCACCCTAATCCCCTCCCCCATCTTTCCCAGGCTGAAGAATACATGATTACTACATGTATTCTCTGTACATGTACAGAGAAGCCATGTCTATGTTCCCATTACATTTTAGGACACTGTGTGTGGTAGATGACCGTTCTCACAATGCTTCTGAGACAGGCTCTCACTCTCCTTCAGGGTGGCCTTGAGCTTGCCGTCAACTTATTGGTCACCAGGATTAGATGTGTGGACAGCCATGCATGCCCTGCTCAGAATGCTCACCTTTAAAATGAGCTTTCAGAGCAAAGCATGGTGCCTCAGGCTTGTAACCCAGGCAGTGAAGGCTGAGGCAGCAAGATCTTGAGCTCAAGGCCAGCCTGGGCTACATACATAGTGAGATCGCCTCTAAGATAACACAGAGCTGAAGTAAGTAAATAAATAAAGTAGAAATGATAACATGAACTGAGCTTTTGGTGGATGTGGTTTTGTCGGAGCAGGTCATTAGTTTGCTTGTGTAAGCTGGGTGTTCCCCGTGTAGCAGAGTTGGTGCTCTTTCTCAGAAGGGCGTTTACAAGTGGGGTTCAGGCAGCTGATATGGGATTTGAAGTAAATTCTTAAGAAATGCCCAGGATGCAAATTGCTCTGCGTAGTTTTTCTAAGCTGCTACAACCAATGCTACCCCCTTTTGAGTGACTTGCTGCTTCTTAAGTTCTGAAAGCAACATACTTGGGAGTCAGGATAAGCCCTCAAGATATTTGTGACTTAGCTAGTTTTATTCTCTGTTTATTGGGATGCCGAGCTGACTGGGTTAAACTAACTTTCTACTAACTTTTGCTAACTTTCTAGAGAGCTAAGACTGGGCGAACAGTGACTCAGTGCAGGCTAAAGTTTAACACAAGGTCTCTGTTCAGACACACCAGAGCATGAGTATAGGAGCTTCCAAGTTCATGCCAGAAATCACTAAGGCTCTAACACTAGTGTAGAATACTAACCCACTAACCACGCTAATGCATGTAGAAACCTCTGAAAGTCTCAAGGAATGTACAGTTGCCTTTGATCTTCTCTGTCCTGCCCTTCTTGACTCCTCAGACCCCCTCTCTCTTCCATGGAAAGATGCTCGTGTTGGCCCTTTACTAGTCATCCGGGACCAATTCCGTGTGTTCAAGGATACAAATGTACGTTAGTTTGCAGTGTGCTTATGGGTCAGTGGCTCTGGGTCTATAGTGTGGTATTGCCACAGCTGTTTTTACTGATGAACTAAGGCTAAGGTTTCAGTTTTATAGTTGTGTAAGGTTGTATCTTTGTCTATATATAATAATACCTCTCCTGTGGTGGTACCTAAAGCAAAATTGCTTGTTCATAGACAGCATGGCATATTTAAGAATATAATTCATATTATTTAGTCCCCTAGAAAGAAGGCTTTACTAGTTTTCACACTTAAGAAGAATTCATGACAGTCCTCAGTTCCTGTCCCTGGTGAATGGTGATAACCCATTAACACTTGTTAACATAGCAACTGTAAGACTCTGATTTAGTGTTATGAAGGAAAACAATGTTGTGGGATCTAACTTCTGTAATGTGTTAGAATCTCTTTAATATCAATGTTAATGGCAGTAGAACATTGAAAATGAGATAATTGGTCATAAACCAGGGTCAGTTCTTCTAAGGTGAAAGTTTTAGATTAGCTCTGATAACCCACTGCAGGGAGGGAGGAAGAGGAGGGGGAAAGGAGGAGGCAGGCAAGCTGGGGAGAGAGTCACCCTTCGATGCTCAGTGCTACAAGCAGTGTGAGGCCAGTCAGTAAAGTGGTTTTGGGCACCTCCTCTATAGAAAGCTCCAGAAGAAGCTCGTGAATGAAGGTGGCTGCAGAGCTACAGGGACAGTGATTTTGCAACTATTCTCTCTTTTTTTGTTTTTGTTTTTGTTTTGTTTGTTTGTTTGTTTGTTTGAGACAGAGGTTCTCTATATAGTCTTGGCTGGCCTGGAACTAGCTCTGTAGACCAGGCTTGCCTCGAACTGAGAGATTCACCTGGCTGTGCCTCCAGAGTGTTGGGATTGAAGGCTTCAATCACTGTGCCTGGCTTACAAGGGATTTTCTTGACACACAGTGACCTCTCTGTAATACCTTGAGAAGAGTCTCAGCCGTAAGTCATCATCTGTAACATGGCTGTCCTCGAGTCTACCTACGACAGAAGCCTCATGATCCCACTTGACAGCTCATCTAGCTTTAGTGGAAGGTGTAAGATGCTGGAAAGGATTACATAGGCACCTACCTTTAGCAGGATAGCCTGCCACTTAGTCCTGTACTGAGTGGATGTGATCTTTGAGGCAGGGTAGATTTTATTCTAAATAAAAGTTAAGGCTTTTGAGATCAGTATGTTTTAAAGTGCACAAGTAACACTATTTGGGCCAAAAAGGTGCCTCAGTGGGTGGAGGCACTTGCTGCCAAACTCAGCAACCCAACAGCCTCAGGACCCTCACAACAGAAGGGAGGAACCAACTTCTAAAAGTTGTCCTTTGATGTCTATATGCACCTGCTGTAGCCTGTATATACACACTCACAGGTTTTTATGCACACACAAACAGACACACAGAAAGAGAAATTTATTTTTAAAGCCCTTCATTTTAGCTGGGCGGTGGTGGCGCATGCCTTTAATCCCAGCACTTGGGAGGCAGAGGCAGGCGGATTTCTGAGTTCGAGGCCAGCCTGGTCTACAGAGTGAGTTCCAGGACAGCCAGGGCTACACAGAGAAACCCTGTCTCGAAAAACCAACCCCCCCCCCCAAAAAAAAAAAGCCCTTCATTTTAAACTTTATGTTTGTACTTTTTTTTAGATACAAGGTCTTATGTATCCTAGGCTGGCCTCACTGGTGACCGTCTTCTTGCTCATGTACCCTAGGCTGGCCTCACTGGTGGCAGTCTTCTTGCCTCCATTTCTTCAGCTGGGATTATGCATATGACTCAGACTTTTTTTAAAATAAAGTTTTATATTTGTTTTGTGTGGTGGTGGTGGGGGTGTGTTATTTACCTGCAGGTATGTCTGTTTACCACCTGCATGTCTGGTGTCTAAGGAAGCCAGAAGATGGCATTAGATTTCTGGAAACTAGACTTAGACCATTGTGAGCTGCTGTGTGTGCTGTGTGTGCTGTGTGTGCTGTGTGTGCTGTGTGTG